ATTCCTGCTCATGTTCTGATTCCCTCTGTTTTAATGGATCTTTAAACAGGTCAGAGTCAATGCGTGAGCTGGGATCAATGCTATCCTGTTGCTGCTGCCTTTTCATGGAGTCATTTGACATCTGTACTTTATTGATGCGCAAAGCAGCTCTATTATCTCGGGCTTTTTGCTGAGGAAAGATTAAAAAAAATGTAGTTAGCTTTGTTTCCTTCTGCAAAGTGTGAACATTGCATCTGTTATTCCTATAAAATCTACCATCAAATTATTTGTACAGCCTGTTTTAATCACTAAATCATTAAATTATGCACTTTAAAAGGAATTCCAAACTAGAAATACTTAATCTGTACAGAAATTCTGTGTTTAACATACTTAGAAAGAACTAAAGAGTTCTTAGCAGCAGAGATTTTCTATGCATTAGCAGTGCCTGTTCAGGCACTGGCCTGTGCAAAGACAGCATGAATCCCACCAGTTTACCTTTCAAATCACATATTGGTGTGGTCTGCAATCTGAAGAGATGAGCACAGCAGATGATGTTTGGATCAATAAAGGCCACTAATGTGGAGAACTTCAATGACAAGAAAAACACAGCCTACTCCATTGAACAGCTTCTATAGATCTCAGTGTGTGTTAAGCTAGCAGTGTGAACACAGGGTATGGGCTTATGGATCAGGAAAAATGGGATGGAAGAACAACAATTCCTCTTCAATGAGGCATTTTACAGCCATACTGACACTTCAAAGCCTCTAATGCAAGTTTCAGAGAGTGTGTTTTACCACCAGTCTAGGATGCGATTCCTTTTCTGAATCAAACCCTCACATCTGCTTTTTCACAATTTTATTTCCAGTTCTGAAGTAGGGGTTGCCCAGCAGAAAAGGCTTTAATCCTTCCCCTCCAGCACCAGTGTCACAACAGCAGAAAAACTACTGTCATTTTCCCCTGTAAGTGATGGGAATGTGCATACTAAGAAAAGTAAAAAGCCTACAGTGAAAAGTGAAAATTTGCTAACACTTCAGAATTTCAGTTCTAAGGTAGCCTTTACTCATCCCCACAGAGTGTAAGGCCCTAAGGAGAGGTATCACAGCAGCTTCCTGACTGCATAATGCCAGGAACACTAGGAACAGCTGAATGGCAGGAGTACAAGGACTGTAACTTTTGTAAGGAAGTAACTGCATCTTGCTGTGCCAATATTCATGTGTGCACTTGTATGCACTCTCCTCCTGAACATGAAGAAAGCAATTTTTGCAGCTGCTTTTTTGATATTCATCAGGAGAATAGGACTGTGTTTGTTAAGAACAATTAAAAAGAAAAGAAAATCAGTAATAGAAATAACTGAAGTGATAATTGCTTGCATAAAAATCCATGCATGTAAGTGGGTAGTGTCCTGTAAACACTACACAGAAAGAATCACCAAGATCCAATACAGCACAGACAAGATGACATAGCGGCCCAAAGGAGCTGAAGTTACAGGCCTAAATGAAAAGCAGAATAATTATGATACCTCCATGATACAAAGAAGACAACAGAAAATTATTCTTCATGTGGAAAGAGGTTTAGAAGGATCAAGAGCTCCACTTTCCACATTGACTTACCCTCTAAAAGTTGTCAGAGAGCTAGAGGAATCTTTTAATTTGGACAGCAGGAGATGATGTTAGTACAGTTAAGCTCCAAGTAATCAAAATACATGGAGAGCAAATTTGCTTACTAATGGGACTATATTAAAAAAAGGGCAGGCGGGTGGAGGATAAGAGACTGAAAACATAACCCTGCAAAATCCACAGAAATCTACAAAGTCATAGTGATCGTCCAATTGCTGTTGTGAAGAAACAAAGAAGAGAACCAGCAGAGACTGGAGATGTGACAGGAAATTAAAGAAAAGCACACTTGCTAATGATGGCTGGAAAGGTCAAAAAGACTGAACAACACAGGTTCTGAGATTTGGATGTGGACAGGCTTCAACAAGAGGTTTCGACAAAGCCTCTGAATGGCACAAGTTCTACAGAATGGAATAAATGACCACATAACTCCAGATAGCTACTACAAATCCATGCATTCACTTGACTTGGATGTGAAGAAGGTGCATGCTCTTGGGAAGAGAACCAGAGTCTTTCATGCTCCCTCCAACACGAAAGATACCAAAAAGAGTTTCCACTACAAAATGAATAAAGAGAGTAAGTAGTGAAGAGGAACAGTAAGGCAAGAACACAGGAGCTGAAGACAATGAGGAAAGCAGGGATGTGAGCACTGATGCCTCTGGAATGGTTATTTTAACAGGTGAAAGGTGCCAGCAACTCCAATGTGGCAAAAAAGAGAAAAGATTAGTGAGAGGGGAATATGAAAGGTAAGAAAGTTACATAATGATTTGTTATCCTTCTGAAGAAACTGGTGAGATTCCATGCAGAAAGAGACAGAGCAAAGAAGACTTGAGGAATGAATCAAATGTAGCAAAGAGGCAGTGGAAACCACAAATGTTCTCATCTTGGTTATTCCAAGACTGAAAAGCAAATAAAACAGTCAGAAGTATTCAGAGTTAGAATTTAAATTATCAGGGTATTCTTGGAGTAAGTGAACTTTCATTAACCCTAGAGCCTAATTTATTTAGAAAAACAAACGAAAACTTCATAAATGAAATATGTTTGCTGGAAGTATGCAAATGCAGGTGGTAGTTGTTCTTACCACATATGGAGCCCTCTCCTGCGAGCTTGCTTTCCTCCACAGTTTAGCAATCTGCTTCACTCTTGTAGCCCAGTCTGCAACCAAAAAAATGTGTTAATACAAAAGGCTTTGATGAGTCTGTTTTACATTATTTTAAATGAAGATGCAGAAATTGCTATGAAATATTTCACTTTATTCAGTAAATCACTCACCTGGAAATTCTTCCTTTAGGTTAGGGAAGTTGATATTCGTATAGAGGACAGGTGCTACTGTTGCCATTTCACCCAAAGCTTCTTCTTTTTCCCACTTAAGAGTGCTTCTTTGAGCATTGGACATTGTATCGCCTTCGCCTTCCAAAGGTGGAGCAGATGGTGCCCATGAGCTATTTGGATCACTTACCATTGGATTGAACGCTGGATTCTTATCCCTGACAAATCAGAAAAGGGTTTTGTTTTATATCTAGCTTGCTCTTATCATAATAAAAAAAAAATAAAATTAGCAAAGTGTTTTACTCTGTCTGCCATTTCAGCAGTGAACAGGCTGCAAGAATACACAAGTCTTTGTGGTGGCTGTCAAGAACTAATCCTTAAATATTAATAATACCACAGTATTAAAAACAAACAACACCCCCCAAATATATAATTATAAACAAAAGATATTTTTTATTTCCCATCTTGCCTTACCTGGTATCAGTATATGGTTGCTGTGTAATGGAGGAGAAAGTGCCCAGTCCACCTGCAGTCAAAGCTGCATGAGGGAGATGAGGGTTAGGGCCAATCAGACCATTCATAAGGGGCACTCTGGGAAATGCATTCTCTCCTAGACAGAAGAAGTTAAAATCACTGTTCTGAAGGGTGACTACTTTTAAGGTAGATGTGGAAGTTTTCAGTGAAAAAATTACATCCCACCTAATGAAAAATTTACCACTTTAAAATTTCATAATACTGACCTTACATTATTGGAAAAGACTTGAAACCAGTTTACATTGCTTTCCTACAAGATAAAGGGACTCTTTTCTACTCTAGCACATCCCTGCAAACATTTATTTTTTTGATCTGAAAGATCAGGTTTTTAAAAAAGGATTTCCAAAACTTTGCAGCAGCCCATGTTATGGTACTGCACTTCATATTGAGGTACATTCTTAAAGGCTAATGGTCTGTCATATTTGTTATACCCAGATCCAAGCAGCAAGCATGGAAGTGGTTTTCAGTCTTTGCAGCATCATCATTAGCCACCTGAATTAAATCTCTTCTGAGACTTTTGAGCAGTGTACCAAAGTCAGCCTCATTATCTACTAACTCTCTAATTTGTAACCAATGAAACAGATAAATCTAGTCAAATGATCATCTGCATTTTCTAATTAAATGTCCAGCCTAGCATTACGAAGACAGAACATTTTATTTATTTGATTACAATATTAGACAAATCTGGCACAGGCAGATTCATTCCAGCAGATGGTCTTTGCAGATGTTCCTACATAGAATTAACACTGGTCTTTGAATCCCTGTCACTTAAGTGCCATTATAGCTGTCCCAGTATTTTCTTAAAAGCACAGAAGTAGCATAGAATTAGATGCATCTGTAGGAAGACACTTCATTCTCTCATGCTTTAGGAGACTGTCTTCTCATCTATAGTTTACATACACTCTGCAGGAAGTATGGTTTGGCTTAAATTCAAAACTTAAGAGAACATGCTTTATTATAGCTGCTAAATAGACAGTTTATGGTAACTGTGAAGACCTGGCAAACAAACAGGATGGACGGTCAGGTATCTGGTTTGCACTGCAGGATCACACATCTTTATGAGAAGAGAGCATTAATTTTGCTGCCAATTGCTGAAACTTGACGCAAGCTTCCTCATTACTGAAGCATTAATCTCACAGAAACATGTGGATCATTACACTGTAACTGAACCAAATCATAAATCTAAAGTTCTGTAGCTGTGGCAGTTCCCATAGGGAGAAGTTCAACAATCTTACATAGCTCAAAAGCTGAAGTTATTTCCAAGTACTCAAGTAACTGGGAAACAGCCAATGACATCTATATTATCTTTTGCTTCAAATCACCTCATTATTTGCTTTAAACTCTCCTTTCTAAGACTTTTTGAAGTGCTTCCTTTTTATGGAAATTCATCCAACTAGGAAACCAACCATTTTTCTTCTTACGATTAATTCATTGGTGAAAGGATCTGCATACTACTTTTTGTAGTACAGAAACAGAATGGGCACTCTTTACATGAGCTCAGAGAAAATCCAATAAAGGTGATATCAAATGAGAAAAGACTGCATTTAATTATGCTCATACACACTGTTGTTTTTTTTAAAAAGAGCTCTACTGGTAAAATCAGTAACACACACAAAAAAATCAATCTGCACCTTGCTTTGAATAGAAGAGCAAGAACATGCTGTATCAACTTATGATGATTTTAGTAGTAATGAAGAAAATTAATTAGAATCTCCCAGATAAATTTGAAAATTACTTAGCCTTCACTCTGTTATTTGGATAGGCCTAGTTAACATATTGAACTGAATTCTTAAAGGAAATTAACACTCAGTAAATCACTTTTATACAGACTCCTTACCCTTGAGGAGGGAGTTACACGTAATTAAAGAGCCAAGTCAGAAGAAAACACAAGCTTTACCACAGCCAAATTGCAAAAATATGAAAGTGTCAGCTAAAACAAAAGCTCCAATATGCCAGAAAAATCTAGAATAACTGTCCCTTCTATTAACAATATTTACATGCCTGTTCATTACATACCCCCTTCAGAATAGTTTTAGGGTAATATTTCCTAAATTAACCATGGCAGATTCCACAAATGAAAACCAGCAGAAAGTAGGGAGTATCCTATTTTCATATCAGTATTTGAAAGATGAACAACTGTCCTGACCAGGCTGCTGTTTAAAAGTAACAAAAGAACATACCTTGATTGTGCAAAGGCATAAGTTGTGGTGGAGGTGGAGGCTGTGGCAAAGGAGCTGGCTGTGTGGTTGCTGGACTTAATACAGCTGTGAACAAATCTTCAACATCCTTTCCTCCTAGCTCTGCAAAAACACTTTGCATGAGTTGGCTGGCATCATTTACAAACTCTGATTTATAAAACACAACACAGATTAAAGCACATACCTGGAATTTTGTACAATTTGCCAAGAATTGCACCTGGACCAAGGAAAGACAATACAGAATGAGTAATCATCAAAAGATGAAATAGACTTTATCATAAAACCAAGTACAAATAGGTATGTAACAATACACAAATAGTAATTTGAGAAAAAGACAAAAATTCTACTTAAGTCTTCTAGAAGACCAAGATCAAGGTCAAAATAATTACCATCTGTGACCATTTTGTCTAGTTCTGGACTCAGGATTCCATCCAACTGCTCCTCACTCAGTGGCCGTGAACTCTGGTTAACATTCGTTTGAGGCAGAGAAGAAGGATCATCAGAGATGGGACCAATATCCAGCCCAGCTGAAGGAAGAAAGAATATTAAATTAGACATAAACAGTACCATGTACTGGTACAGAACAAAGAGCATCCAACTTCTTTTTCCCCCCTTGAGGTGAGCTATCACCTAAACCAAGACCTTCTAAGGTTTGAAAGGCAAAGCAAAGTAAGACATTCATCATAAAAAGAAAATGAAATCACCCACACTATTTACCTCCAGTTTACTGTACCATTTGAAGAATGTTAATTGACTAGAATGCAACTGGAAGGATGGGAAAACTTTGTTGAGTTTAGGCACACATGGCTTTGAGCGTATAGTTTTCAGTATATAGGTTCCAATGTAACTATTTTTCACATTTTAAAAACAATCATACCAGTAGTCAATATGGTTCATCCCATGTACCTTAAGGTTCACCCCAAATGTTCTTATAACACTATATTAAGTATCTATTGAAGTGCTGTTGAAGTGTAGTCAGTATCAAATAAGTTGTATCAGTTTCTGTTTCAAAACCAACTATGAATATTCTGAGTTACATCGGGCAAAGTGATTTGTTGGTACTGAGAAAACTTACTACACAAATCTCCTAACATGCTTTACAAGTCAATAAATCTCTCAAAGAAGACAGATCTTTGGGGAAAAAAAAAGAACTTTACACTTCAGCATTTAAAATATCTTTCTGTATTAGATAACAAATAAAAAATTAAAGATAATGGAACATGCTGTTCTAATAATTGTTAACCTATGTTTTACATAATGTGTAAATGAAAAGATTTGATGCTGACTGCTTCATTCATGCTTCAATATATTCACCTTGTTAAAACACTTAATTTACACAAGATACCACTACGGTAAGAAACTACACACTACTACTAGAAGGACTATTAAAATTAACAGGAAGAGCAAGAAAATGCATGGGTTTGTATCATGAAAGGTTTTTAAAAGCTGGAAGCAGAACGTTATGCAGTACTCTTAAATACAGAGTGCAGAATTTATAGGTCGTGTTAGACTGAAACACCACAGAAAGAGTGGAAAATGAAAGCACGAATTAGTGACACAGCAAAGGAGTACTAGTTTCTACACATGCAGTTCTTTCAGCTAAAGCCACTAGGAAAGATGACTACTTCTAACCATGGATCATCCATTGTTTAGATTCTTACCAAATGGGGAGGGTGAGTTCGCAACCTGGAAAGTGCATAAATCAAGACCTACAGGACCCAAACCAGATAAAATGGATGATTATAACATGAAAACAAAACAAAAGTAAAGAAAAAGCTGCATGCTGAAAAAAGCTACGCAAGTATGACAGACAATAGCAGCTACATTTTATTCTCTCTTAAGCAGCAAAGCAAAGAGCCAAGTAAATCAAAATGTTGAAAAGACGGGATTTTTTTCTTTTGCTAGAAGACAAAAAAGTCATCTCAAAACAAGCTATTCTTAAGGTATGAAAACTGTATCTGAAATCACCTAAAGCATAACCTACAGATACAATACAAAAAAAAAAATTATAATAAAGAGAAAAAATAAAACAATAAAGAATAAAGAAACCTTATAAACATACGTACCCGAATGATCTGCTGCCTTTACCAAATCATCAGAAAGTATCCCAAGGATATCATCATCAGTATTTAAGACTTCAGAAAGATCGGCTAGAGGATCATCGGTGCTACCTGCATAAGTGCAATAAAATAAAGTCAACCAGTCTTGGCATTCACACATGACTCTGGTGATACACTACTGCTTGAGCTAGAAAACCCAACACATTTATCAGGTTGTAAGGGTGTGTTACCTACTGCAAGTCACTCTGGGGTGAGTGTGCTGACCAGCATCCCCTCCCAAACAGCACTGCAGCCACCTTCACATGCTTTTGGCTGTTTAGGATTTTCTCCAGTACAGTAAAAGTGACAATGCAATCAGTCCCATGCAAGAAAGACTGATTTCAGGGGGAAAAAAAATCCCAAGAACTAGTAAGAACTTGCAGCCTCTAAGAAACGAAGGCCTATGAATGTCAAAGTCAACCAACAGGTTTTATAAAGGACACAGCTCCCAGCACATGAAAAAGGAATTTCAAAATAAATTATTAAAATAATATTAAAATAATAAATTATTACAATACATTACCAGTTACCACCACTATCTTTTGTAAAATACTTATGGAAGAGTAAGGAGCAGTAGTAAGTAAATGGAAATTGGAGATGGTATTTTTAAGACGAGAAGAAATCCTGTGACAGCAGCCAGAGGTAAAAATGTCATGTTTGTTTGTTGCCTAGGAAAAATTGGCCTGGTTCTAGCAATAAATTATTTCATATTAAATATTAAATTCTGGATATGATTATCTTCTTGACATCCAATTCATTAGAGTGAAATAAATCCAAATGGCCCAACTGGCTCTATTAACTAGTTTTAAGGACTATTACAGATGTGCAATATTTGAAGAAAATTATTTGACAAAGAAATAAAAATTGAGAGATACTTTTTCAGAAAAGCTGCAGACTACCATGACTACATGGGCAATCATTGCCAGAACACTGAAACATGAAGAGATGGTAAATATGCATGTAATTAAACAGAGAAAAGGGATTAATACAAATAATAAAATGTACAATGTGGAAAGCAAATATGGGCAGGTGGGACCAGAAAGTCAAAGAATAAGCGAATTTCAGACATGTATGGCTATCTTTCCAACCATTACAACCCAACTGACCCAGAAATGTATTTCTAGCTTAATTCAGAAAAGTCTGATGCCAAGGAATTACTTATAACATGAGGCTACTTTCGAAGCTGCTAAATCTTACAATGAAATAGAAGTTCCTTCTGCTGTTTTTCAGAGACAAGCCTTTTCTGAAAATCAGAATTTAAATTATTTTCCTTCACTTTACTATTTTTATTCTTTATTTTTTATCCTTTGTAATGTAGACAAGAGGATACCATCCTAATTAAAGAGCATTTAATGTTTGCCACTTAACTAGGTGGATCAATGTGCCAGTGCAGACCAGTCTGTTTACATGTACATAAAGAATGTGGCTCCTATTGATACCAGGAGAAATACTAAGTGTCTCAAAACCACACCACTTGGTGGGCATAGTTATTTTCATAGTTATTTTGTGCACGTGATAAAAAGTACTATGAAATGTAAGGTTTTAAACGCAACCTAGTTTGGGGGTTTTGCTGTTGGGTTTTTGTTTGGTTTGGGTTTTGCTTTTGGTTGGTTAGATTTGGGGTTTTTTTAAGATACTTGTTTTCCTTCTGGCAATTGTTCTAATAAAGCCAGGTTGGATGAGGCTTGTTCAGTCTGGTCTAGTGTAAGGTGTCCCTGCTCACAGCAGGGAGGCTGGAATCTGATGATCTTTAAGGTCCCTTCCAACCTTAACCATTCTGTGATTCTATGATTTTAATTATGCAAGTAACTAACACCAGGCACGGCAAGGTCATGTTAATGACTTTGGCTGGCTGGTAGGCATAGGATTGACTTTAGCCATTCTTTAAATTTCCTGAATTCCTACATGAAGACAAGTAAGTTTCTGGAAGAAAAAAGCCCTTATGAATAAAGCACCAAGACTGTATTAGCAGCCTTTAATTCTTCCACAGTATTTTATGTTATGGTGTTTCTCGCCAGCCCTTAGTAATGTGCTTGGGAGCAGTCCCTAAAAACTCAACTTCTAATTTGAATATAAATATATTGAATAAGCAGCTAGAAAAATCTCAGGTGGAAAGAAGTAACTGAGGAGTTTACCACCCATAGCTACAATCTGCCCATTAATAAATTCAGGCTTCAGATTAGAGCGTTCCTAACTACTAAGGCAATCAGATTCTGTAATGGCCTTCTGATGAGATGAGTAGGTTGGAAAAAAGCTACCTGCTTTCCAAATAGAGCTTCCTAAGTCTATAAAAAGGCTGAGTGTTAGTGATAGCAGAGGGCTAGACTCTGTGAACCATAAATCTCATAAAAGACAACTAATCTGAAGCATATTTTTACATTTTTATTCTGTTTCTTTCCTCATTTTAATTCCATGCATGCTAAATATTATCTTGGAAACAACTAAATCACTTTAGTCAGCTGCTTCAGATCAGAATCAATAGCTGGTTGACATCTGCTGTCAAACAGATAGCTCAATACTCCTCATTAATTTGACTCTTTCAGAATGGAGATGAAAATGAAGACAAAGCAAAAAGGAAAATAATTTGTTTGTAATGCTGGATCTCTAAGAGAGCAGAGTTCTACTACTATCTTGCGATCCTGATTCCTCCAATGCATTTACCTTTATTTATTTATGAAGTTCTAAAAGAATAAAAATGCTTCTCCCAAGACTGCAGCCACCCTAAGATGTTTAACCACACAACAACATATCTAGTTATAAAACGTCACAGCAGCATTTTAATCAGTTGCACACAGACTCAAATGACTCCTCTCATTTTATTTAGGAAGAATTTCTTTAGCATTCTCTGGAGACCTTACTTGATTTTTTTTCAGCATCCTGAGAAAGAATACACTAAACTTAAGCTATTTTAACCTAAAGGAAAGATCAAGTGGCCTCTTTTACACTAGAGACATCCAGGTCAAGAAACTCAGGAGAGATGCGGACAGTCCTCAAACCACTCCGGATGCAACAGATCCCAAACACCACCTTCAACTTTAGCCATTAACAGCCAAGGAGATCCTGGATATGTGGCTCCCAGCATGCAACACTTTGCACTCTGCTCTAGCACTGTCTTGGAAATAATCTTGAGGACTGGTCCCATGCAGAATACTGTGGAGTGTGCCACACGTGTTATAAAAACATGGAAAAAGTGAGTCTTGTAACTGCAGAAAAACCTGCAACCTCTTTGCCAGATGGAAATCTGGACTTGGAGCCTAAGGCTCATTTTAGTCACAGTTACCAGAAATTACTAGTAAACAAAGGACTCCAAAAAATCCCCTTCTGGCCAGCACTGCCAATCCTCATCACTATTGTAATCTTGCCTAGCAAAAGCTTCAGCTACCTTTAGCAAAGCTCCAAGAATAAAGTCACAGAATGTGTCATTGAAACACAATGTCAGTTCATGAGAAGACTGAACACGCTGCTGTTCGACGCCTCAGCAGCCCTATGCACATGGTGAAATGCAAAGCAGACAGAGTAACTTCCTCTTTAGATGCTTGAGAGCACTCTGGAAGATGAACAGGTGTATCTAACCCTTCATCCCTGCTTTAAGCAAGTGGAGGTTCCAAGAGAAAAACATCCTCCTCGTGGAAAAGACTTGTCCAGTTCAGCAAGGACTCTCCCAGGAGTCAGCAATCCTTGTGAGAAATGGCACTGTAGGAAAACAACAGTTGGCAACAATATGGTGCTAACAGGCCCCCAGTGCAGTGCCCAAACCAGGTCATGTTGTTCCTGCTCCAAATCAGGTCTGCATCAAAATAATGAGAATACCACAGGTGCTCCTGGACACTGTTCCCACCTCCAGCTCCTCTGCAGTACCAGCCAGGAGACAAGCTGGGACCATTCCTAGCTCAGCAGTTAGACAATTTACCAGAGTCTCCACCACTCAAAATTAATCTGGCTCTCTCACATACATGAATGCTACTGCGGAAACACAACTGTGTCCCACAAAGTCACAGTGAAAGAGTTAAGAAGAACTGCACTGGAACTGATCAATACTGGCAGATGACTTCACCCACTGGCGCTCCAACTACAACAAACAGCTCCGTCTGGACACAATTTTGGCCAGAAATCTGAACAGTTGAGACACAATTGTTGAGAACACTCCTACAGCCAGAAAGGACTGTGCTTTGAGTCTCTTGTATACAAAATGGGACAGCAGTTTATCCACTAAAACCATTGCTAGCTATTTATTTATTGTCACCTCATTATGATTTATTTCTGAATTTAAAAAGAGGAAATTATGAGGTTTTACAACTTTACTTATTCATAAAGAACAGGGTTTTTAAAAATTCCTTTGGAAAAATAGATCATTAAATTAACATCAAGTTAATTAATCTCTAAAACCTTATGCTGCCACAATACATGAACATTAATGACTCCAATTGTGCAGTTGGACAGATCAGCAAAGACTTATGAATCTGTATTTCTCTGGCTTCAAACGAATGCTGGAGTGAAAAAAGTCTGAGTGAGTATATTTTCTTGTAGTGTTGGAAGGAATGAAACACTCCACTTGCAGGGTTTCCCCTTTGGGGGGAAGTTAACTTTTGCATTCTCTAGTACTCCCAATTTCAACCGTACAACAATCAATGTTTGATTATGATGTAGCTTTTTGCTTTTCATTTACCAGATTTTTACTAAGTAACAATCACAAATAAGCAGCCTTTCTTCAAATGACTCTCTGGACATGGGAAACTATATCAATGTGTGCAAACATTTTTAGATGGAACACCTTATGAGGATGAGCTGAAACACAACCCACAAATTAACCAATATACACAAGAAATAGTAACAGTTTTTTAAAAAATACAGCATGGTAAGACGCCTCTAGCCAACTGCACATGCTACAAGACACGGAGAAAAAAGTAATTTGGAGGGGACAGTAAGGTTTTCACTTTTAATTGCTCCTTTTTGTGAAGCTGCCCATTCAGCAACACTTCACAACCCCCTGGCTAATTGCAAAACTCTCAGCAGTAACTTCAGTAAAGTTTTGCAATAGCAAAGATTGCCCAGGGGCTACAAACTGTACCTGGGAAGGGCATTCATGTTCTGAAAGGACATGGTGAACCAAAAATTCCAAGAAGACTGGCAACCTAAAATAATCTAAAACATTGAAGAAAATAAAAAGTTGGATGATATTCATCCAACTAATATTCACCAGACTACTAAAAATATCTTTTAATTAGAGTACTTCTGTCTTCCTCTATAGTCGATCTGTATGCTTATTCTTACATAGATTTGCATTAAGCATCAATTGTTGTGCCACCCACTGCTCTTTCTGAAAGCCCTGGAGCTGAATATTACTATTAATGTAGCTTAAGCACACAAGGACAGTTAATATACAGAATGTTGAAAAATACATCAGACAGACATTGTGAGAAAAGAGTGGGGAAAGCCCCAGTTGAAGTAACAAAATCAAACTTCTGAATTATCACTAACTTTAGCTTTGTATACCTTGAGGTCCCAGTTTTGCCTGAGTTGGAGCGGAGGTTGAGCTAAGAAGGGGGTCAGATGAAGGATCCAGGAAACTGGTGGTCAGATTTGTTTTACATGAGAGTGGAAGTGATTCTTCAGGTAGATTTTCTAGGCTCATCTTGTTTTGTCTACTGGTATCTAGCAGATCTTTCCCAAAGAAAGCTTCCTGCAAAGAAGACAAAATGATTCAATGTGAGAAGAACCCTCTACCCATTGAAAAAGTTAAGTAAATAGCAAAGGTAAAATTAAAAGCCTATGATTACTAGAAATACAAAAATGTAGTCTCAGTCTGACATGTCTTCCAGTATGGCAGTCATCTCTTTCAGGCTACGAGGAGTGGATATGGCAGGTAAAACTTACCTAAGATAGCTATATTATTAATATTTTATTATCAAATTTCCACCTTAAATTATACAGAAAACATATAGTCTTCTTATGTATATGTGGCACAGACACTATACAAACACAGTGTTATTATAAACCACAACTTTTTCAGTATTTAAAATACTTCTTGCACAAAAGAGGAGAACTGAAGAGGGGGAAAACCATGGAGCAACTTGGCCAAGGCCACACCAGAAGTTCCTGAAAAACATGCAAGTGCACTGTGGTCCAAGTTCTAGAATGACCATATGCTAAATTTCAGCTAGCAGAAAATCACTGAAATGCCAAACTGCAGTAACAACACACCTGAAGCCATTTAACCTACACAAGGATCTTAAAACATTACACAGGAGCTATTACTCACCTATGCCTGAGTACTCACTAATTCAACATCAACCTATCACATTTTCAAGTCAACATTTATTCATTTCGTAAGATTTTTTTTCTGTTTTCAAGTAGTCTTTAAAGGTACAGTTGATAAAAATAAAGCTAAAGGAAGATTTTTCAGTATCAGTTATTCCAACAAGAACAGAAGAAGAATCTAAGAAATAGTCTGTGCTTTACAGGTGTAAAAACTGTATTAATAATATTTATTTTATCCTTATTAACTCAAAGGAAATGTTTCTTAAGTATTTTCTTTCCAACTCGCTTCCCCACTTCTGAAATACAAATTATATTTAGAGAGATTGTTCTGACTGATAATTCTTTGCTTTCAATCCCAGGAAGTTTGGTGAGCATCTACTGGATAAAAGTTTTCATTAAAAAGGTGGTTGAGAAGAAGAGCAAACCAAATAATGTTCTCTGTGAGAGACATACATTAACCAGTCAGTTTATAAACTGGTTGAAGGTACTTAAGTTGCTCAATGACCATGAATATCCTGGCTATTATCCATGAGTGCTACCTCTTATCTGTTGGAGACATCACAGAATTAATGAAAGGAAAAAACAGAGATTATTGTGGTAGGAAGATGAGGGGCATATAAAAATACAAGACTGTAGAAAAACAAGTTTACCCTATCAAATAATGTTCTGTAATCTTCTGCAAACATAAATTAGCATGTTCAGGGAATGGCATGATCAGGCTAAGACATGCTACATAGTTGAATGCTGAAAACATCAACTGTCAGTTCAGAGAGAAAAGAAAGGCTTCATTCCCCTGTGCCTCCTCTCTCAGGACAAGGATCTATACATTGAAAAAGAACACCAGAGGAATGGAGACTTAACATAATACCCAGCTTTCTGTACAGACTTATAAATGTTCTTTACAGAAAGCTATTTAATTTGAATGATAAATTTAGACTGAAAAGAAACATCAGTGGTTTAAGTGAACTACAAATCAACACACACAAAGAACAGGTTTTTTAATAGATTTACACAAGAAGTACACCAATGTCTTTACCTGCAAGTAGGCAGGAAAGGTTTCTTCAAGTTTATTTTTCTTTTTTCTGTAACGCTTCTTTATTTTCTCAGTACTTTCAGACGCTGGGGTAGACTCCTCAACTGGAGTGTCTGGCAACTGTTCTGTCCAACCTAAAAAGTAACATTCAGGAACTAATAAGTAAAATACTCTGTGTCTTCCTCTAAAGGTACAGGGGTAACATGCCTAATGCATCTTGCTGCCCACCTGGGTGCATGGGTTTACTGAGTATCACTTTAGATATGTTCTAAAGGTGGCTTTTACCTAGTCAGTTCTGAACTGCAACCTCATCATCTGGGCTCTGGCAGTCAGAAACACCATATGTGGTACTAGTCAGAGCACTATGTTGTTGTACCTCACTGGCTGTAGATACGTCTTTAACTTTTGTATATCCAAGCCCTCCTAAAAAATTGATAATTTGAGAGAAATAATACATGCCATTCACCCAGATATTTCAATTTACTATCTCAAAAATAATCCATGGTGAGATACATATTAATCACCTTTCATTTTATACACTAATTTGTCTCAAAAGTAAAAAGATATTTAAAAAAATCTGATAAATTAGTCATACAATTAATTAACTGGTCAGGAAAAGAAACCTGTAAGATCTTCAATAAAAATAACACATTTATTCAGCTATCATATTCTTAAGTGGCACTGTTTTTTCTAATAAAAGCAAAAGCACACCGTGTTCATCAATCATTCAGTATTTTATTTCAACAGACTAGGGAAAACACAGTAGGTAAAAGCAGAACTTTAAAAAGTACTCTACTTCTCTTTTGTCCAAGCTAATTACATGAAGTTAATGACCTTGGGAAGTTATTTTAAAAAACATATTATTGTGGTAGTAAAATCAGCTATGCTTTTTACTTAGTGATCTCTTGTACCACATTCAGAGGACAGTGAGGAGAATGAGCCTCACCAACACTGTGGCCTCTGCATTGTTGGAAAAGAAAGCTTTGCAGAGGCAAGAGGTGGAATATGACAAGAGCAGCAAAAAACTGGGTAAGACTGAAGAGTACGGGCAGCTGAGAACAGGCTCTCAGCAAGTAACAATGATTTAAAACATACAAAGATTATTCTGAGTTATTTTCTTAACAAGCAACTGTGCCTAAGCAGACAAAAAGAAGCTCAAACTTTTAACTGCAGAATACTTGTTAAAGAATACAGCTTTTTAACAATATGCATTGTACTGTTACTCAGAATGGGGAACTAATATTTTACTTAAAGGAGCAGATCTCTATAGAAATGGAAAACCTTAAAGTAAAATTTCCTGAACCAATGTAGTGTAGTATACTGAAATACTATTTGCAGAGCAGAAAAACATAGCTATAACACTAATTGTAAAGAGAAAGCAAGTACTGAATAGGGGATCAGGCTACCTTGCTGCTGGGTGGAACTACTGGAATAAACATTCACTGGCTTTGTGAAGCAGTTCCACAAATGCAAGCAAGGACAGCATCTAGCTATTAGTTTTTAGCACTGCCTGGATACTGCAGTAAAGATCTGGTCTTTACCACATTGTACAAATACAGAGCAAGAGACCAGTTTGGCTCTAGAACAGTCATGAACTCAACTAAACAGTCAGGAGAGAATAACTGAAGAAATCAAAGGCCAGACTCTTCAAACTGAGATGGTATCAGCCAGTTGCCTCCTTCTACTGACTTTCTAGGGAACAGGCTCTGAACTAAGCACATTCTACATCTCACCTTCATGATACCTCAATCTTTTCTACATTACATAATGTGAACATATCCAGATGGATGAAATAACTTAAGTCTAATCACATATAGCAAGCAAGAGAACAAGGCACTTAAGCAAAATCTGACTTCCTGTCAGGTGCCCAATTTACCAAGCACTACGATGTCAGAGGCATTAGAATGGCTTTGCTATGAGAACAGAGACCAGAGGATTATTCTTCCACCCTGGAAAAGCCAGTAACTGATGGGGGAATATGATGCACATCTAGACAACATGTACGTATTACAAATTAATAGGAAATTATATTTTTAGAAATAATTTTTCATCACAGAAAACACAAGGGTAGCTTATGAAGCTCTCAGACACCCAGTTTAAAATGAAAAGGAATTATTTCTTCATGCAGCAGTAGTGTATTATTGAACTCACTACACAGGATTATCCAGAGCAAAAAGAGATAGATAAAAGTATCAGACACTTTTGTGGAACGTGGAATTCTGCTGAAAATTAAAACTGATGGTCCAGAAGACACCTGTGGATCAGGACTACCTTGGCAGGAAGGTGTATAAGAAAGAGATTGCTCTAAATGTACCTCATTTCATACACTTCTTTCTGTCTTCTATTGGTCAAAGATAGGCTGAACACAGCTTTGACACAACAGAGCAGTCCTCATAATCCTCACTATGTATCTCCCACAATAGCCTGCAATTCATTGTTTCAGTTTCCCCATAAATCACTGGCTCCGCTGAAATTATTAGTATGCAGGAATGAGTATTTTCAGTTTAATTAATAAAACTATCATGACAAACACAAACAATTTTCTCTCTGTACCACATCTCTGGCATTGTGTGTTGATGAGTTTATTTTTATCGCATGAAAGAAAATTTAAAATCAAGTTTCTGCACTTACCTTCATCTCTGCCAGGCAACTGCTCAGAAACAGATCCAGAAGAATCTTTCCTGGAGAGAGATCTTTTAGTCTTCCCCTGCCCTGTACGACTTCTCTGACGTACCATAAATCCACCAATACCTAACCAGGAAGCAAAAATTCAAATTTATTGATTAAAACCATGTTTCAGAGTAAGAAGCAGAGTCAAAATTATTCTGCAGGTAAAGGGAACTACTGCATCTGTAGAGGTCTAAGAAGGAAGCTGAGATATCCGAGAAGTTTTTATTCAGAGTTTAACGAAACACTTCAGAATGTTCATGTCTGGGTGGGTATGTATCTAATTATCAAAAGGGATCAGAATTTTTGGACTGTAAAACATCCACAATAAGTTTAAATTACCAAAAGTGGCAACTTTCAGATGTTGGTTTTCCCCTCCCCTTGACAAGCTGAAGAACTGCTAGAATTAGAAGTCAATCTTCCAAATGAAACGTATTGAAGAACCTTAAGGGATCATTAAGAAACAATTTACTCTAGAGAGCCCATCACTGTGCCTGATGGTACTAGAGAATATATCACAAGATAAAAAGCTAATTAATCCACATGGTACTGCCTAAAACTTCAGAATCCTTCACTAGAGATTGACTGCAGTGCTCCTCACCCTTTACAGTTGGTGTGTACATGTACATGTACATGCATGAGATTCAGGTTTGTTTCCTTTTTCAGCGAACTTGCGAAAACAAACAGATGGCTGCTCAACTCATGATTCAATACCACTATGAGCAAATGAAACTCTCTTCTCTTGAGGTCCCAGCAGCAGCAGTAACTCCCTTACTGATGTACATAACTCACAGAGAAAAAGCAAATCTGTAAAGTGATGTGGGTTTGTACCACCATCTCCACAGGCTGAGCCCAAGATGGAAGGTTATATACACATGGGTTAGACCTGCTGAGACAGGGCTCTTCCTCAGCAGTGTGGAAAACAATGTGGGGAGGGTAAAATGTGGTGGAGATCTGCTTAGCTACTGAGAGAGAAGCAAGAGAAGCCACACCATACTGTAACTCCTGCTTCCCTTCCTTCCTTCTCTGTATTCCTTTCCTTCACCTCCCCAATAATTTTGCTGCCTCTGTTCTCTTCCCCTGCTATTTTCATAATCAGAGGATATGGCCTGTTACAGCAAGCAGGAGGTGTATGACCAGCAAGAACAGTATCTGTGACTCCAAAGACTACAATCAACTTCTTAGCCACAGTATCAAGAGGCTGCATAATGAAGCACAAACCGAACACACAACACAGTTCTCAGACATAATAAAGGTGTGGGATACAGAGGCTCTTCAAAAGACCAGGCAGTGCCTAAGCATAACTTATTATCTTGGGTTCAGTTTTAGCCCTAATGAATCAGTGCTACTTCCTACAGGGCCACTTAAGTGCCTCTAGCTTCTTCTGCTTGGAGACAGCTCAAGTGTTTCTGCATCCAGGACACACAGCTAAGCCACAGTCAAGGTAATTAAGAGGCAACCATACTAATAAATTAATAAATTAAAACAAATTAATTCATCCAACATGAAAATTCATTAAAATTCACTGTGAGAAGTAATTTGCAAATATTTAGTAAACCAAGAATTTCAGAAAATAAGTTACCTACCAAAAGGTTCTATGAAGTTCAGATATTGCCAGATATACATACATACACATACAAAAACCCTGCCGGTCACCAATTATATAGATACAGTGCATTTTAAGATTGAATACAACACACAGATTTCAACTAGTAACCAGTAATTGTCAGCATACTAAGGACAGGCATCCTGCTG